CACCATATTGGTCCACTACCTTTGTTACTCTACTTCCTTCCTCGTACCCTTGTCCTGAACTCCCCGCTGACGCCCACCTCCACCTGTTCCAGCCTGCTTGCCTCCTCTGTTCCTCCTGCCCGCCTTGCCTTCAAGACCCTCCTCTTCCTCTCTCTCCTCCTCTTCCTCACTCTCTCACTCACCCACTCACCCTCTTGCTGCGGCCTACACCCACATCTTTCTATTTTCTCCTTTTCAAGCTCTCTCTCTCTCTTTCTCTCTCGGCTCGGACAAACGTTTAAGGTCTCTCCCTGGCATCTCCTGAAGAATAAAATATGATTTTTCTCTCCGTGTCAAACGTATTTCTGATCCCTGTGTCCATTATGTTTGGGAATATTCTCCTCCATCTGTCTCCTCCTCCTCCTCCCGTCTTTCTTCCTCAGTGACAGTGTTAAATCCTCAAATTGGTGCATTTGCTGTAGAAATTGTCAGTTGTTATTTGTCACGGCTAGTAGACGTCCTACTCTACTCTAGTCATATAGATGTAGTATTTAGTTTGAAAGCATCCCTAAAGTAAACTTCAGCCTTTCGGTAGTACAAGTTAGTATTACGGTAGTACAGGTATACGAGCTTATTGTGGTCATTATTGAGAAGTTATGATTGCACTTTGAGTGTAGCATATCATTGTCTGTTTGTTCTGAAATTTTTGCCCAAAAATGAAAACTCATCATTTACTCTCCCTCATTTTGTTCCAAAATCATTTGACTGACTTTTTTCCATTAAGCACAAAATAACTTTTGCAGAATTTTCATGCTGCTTTATTTCATTCAACAAAAATATATAGTGCCTGTCGATCTCCAAAAAGATTAAAAAGCACCATAAAGTATTATAAAAGTCTATTATTGTGTGCTATAATCCAAGTCTTCTAAACCAATATAAAATCTTTGCGCGAAGAACCAACCAAAATCATCATTCGCCCAATTTTTGAAAGATTTTTAATAAGCAGTTATTTTAAAATTGATTTATTACCCACAGAACACATCATATGGAGAAAAAAAACAACAACAACAACCTTGAAATATAAGTCAAAAGTCACATGGACCTCTATGATGGTACTTTTTTAAAGCCTGATATTGCCTGATCAGTGTTAGTTTAGTATTATTTATATACTATTATAGTATTTCTTAATATTTTGAATTAGTTTTTATTTTTATATTTTCAGTGTTCATTTTAGTTTAAGTTTTAGTCACTTTGTTAATATGCTTTTGCCATTTTTATTCATTTTTGTTTTTAAATATTTCTATTCAGCTTTAATTTACTTTTAGTAATTTTAGTACCTCAGTTAAAACTTATTTCAGTTAATTGTTTTTCATCTAATATTTATGTTTTATTTAATGTTTTTATAGTTTTATGTGCTTTTGTCATTTTTATTCGTTCTTGATTTAGTAATTTTAGTACTTCCGTTAAAACTTCAGTTAATTGTTTTTCATCTAATATTTGTTTTATTTAATTTTTTATTGTTTTGTTTTATTTTATTTATTTATTTATTTTTTAAAAACATTAGATGATACAGTGCAATCAGTAGTAATTCAGTAAATGCACAGCTAAACAGTTTTTAAGCTGGATTTAAATGTGGCTACTAGTTTTAGTTAACAGTAACAGTGCCCTGATCAATATATGCTTTCACTGAGCAGCTTGAACATCCTCCAAAACATCTCCTGTTGTGCACCACATAGGTTAGAGGGTGAATAAATGATCTTGAATTTTTATTTTTGTCCAAACTCTTCCTTTAAATCTTGAAGATTAAGCAGAAATGTTTGCCATACAGGCTAATACTTAAAGACTTAAAGATGTGTATGTGCATGTATTGTTGCCTTTAGTTTAGCCAGTCAGTTTATTCCCTTAGGTTGTCTCTTACTATTCATATAATCACTAGTTCTTGTTATGGAATGGGCAGGAATAGGCTGCAGATGAATTTGCTAGATGGCCTCCTTTAGGTCCTGTCTTGTTGTTTTGGTGACGGAGCGCTTGGTAGCGCCCGGTTTGTTTGTCGTCCTCCTCTTACACCCCTTGTTCTCATCAGCTTGACCCCTCTGTACGTCTATCACCCCCCAGACTGCCACCACAGACGCTCTGCTATGTCTTCACATATCCTGACCTGGAAGTGCAAGACATTGTGGAGGGAAAAAACTACCTGGGCACAACAGTGGCTGTGGGTTTTATTGGATACATATATATTCTGTATATACAGATTAATTGCTACTTGAATGCTTGCTTTACATCACAATTTGTGAAATATCAAGACATAAAATATAAAAATAACAGCCCTGCATCTTGAAAAAAAAATCTGCTGATTACCAAAAAGGCCTATTATTACCTAATTTGACAATGCTGAGTTCAAAACACTTTTGAGTCAGAGGGACATGTGTTCATTGCCCCCAGGTAGCTTTGTGTGACTTCTTGAAGCCACGTTCCTGTTTTCGTGCATACGTCCATCTCTAACTTCCTTTTCAACATACCGTATAGTCACTGTAGTCTCTGTGTGTGTGCTGTGTGTAACGTGTCTTTCCATTTTAACCCAAGTCAATGTGTTTATTTATTGTGTTTTATCTGTCAAGAGTCCTCGCCATCACCCGTAGGAAATCCTAATAAGATCTCAGTTGTATCTCCTAGACAGCATTAAGAGCAAATGGAGGCTTTTACTGTTCTGGGTTCATCACAAGTACACTCTTAAAAATAAAGGTTCTTTATTGGCATTGATGGTTCCATGAAGAAACATCCACGGAATCTTTCTATGTACCAAAAAGTTCTTTATAGTGGAAAAAAGGGTTCTTTGGATTTTTAAAATGTTCTTCATACTAAGAAAAAAAAAGGTTCTTTTTTTAGAATGTTTACTGAAAGGTTCTTTGGGAAACCAAAAATGGTTCTTTAAAGGAATAGTTCAGCCAAAAATGAAAATTTGCTGTACTCACCCTCAGGCCATCCAAGATGTAGATGAGTTTGTTTCTTCATCAGATTTGGAGAAATGTAGCATTCCATCACTTGCTCACCAATGGATCCTCTGCAGTGAATGGGTGCCGTCAGAATGAGAGTCCAAACAGCTGAGAAAAACATCACAATAATCCACAAGTAATCCACACCACTCCAGTCCATCAATTAATGTCTTGAGAAATAAAAAAAAAACTAATCCATCATAAAGTCGTTTTAACTTTAAACCGTTGCTTCTGGCCAAAATACGAGTCCATAATCCATAATAATGCTTCCTCCAGTGAAAATGTCCATCTCCTGTTGTCCTCTCACATCAAAATCCACTGACATATTTGTTTAGATCTGTTTTGGACTGTTTTGGCTTGCAAATGGTGTTTGATCCATGCATGTTTCTCTCCTGATTCACACGAGACGACTTGTTCACTGGAGGAAGTGTTTTTATTATGGAATATGGATTGTGGTATTTTAGTCGGAAACAACAGTTTGAAGTTAAAAAAAAAACTTAAAGATGGATTGTCCCACTTTATATTAAGTGGCCTTAACTACTATGTACTTACATCAAAAATAAGTACAGTGTACTTATTGTGTTCAAATTGTACTGCAAAACACTTCTGCTGCTATTCAGGTGGGATACGGGTAAGGTTAGGGACAGGTTTGGTGGTATGGGTAGGTTTAAGTGTGGGTTAAGGTGTAAGGGAGGGGTTAGATTTGTTTCTTGCAAAAATGCAGCTTTTCACTTAAAGGGGTCATATGATGCTTTTTTAAAGATCATTATTTTGTGTATTTGTCTTCTTTATGCACCAAGAGCTTGTAACACTCCAAAGAGAAAGGAAAAATTGAAATCGCATCATATGACCCCTTTAACAAGATGTTAATTGATGGACTAGAGTAGTGTGGATTAAAAAAAATCTTTTGGAACCTTTGTTTTTAAAAGTGTAAAACTTTTTTCCACAGAAAATAGTTTTGCTCGGTTTAAACAAACAAGCAATAGTTATGTGTACAGTATTTCACTTACAGTGGAACTTTATGACGCCAGACATTCAGAAGGGTCTTTCTTAAAACTCTTATTTTATTTCTTCTAGTTATGTTTAATGCCGTTTCTGCAGATGGAGAATGCGCTGTATTAAATACTTTTAAATACTGTGTTAAATGAGTACACTGACAAAAAATTAAAGTAGAAACAACTGCTAGTCAATTTTACAAATAATTTTTAAAAAAAAGGCAAGTAACGTTAAAATTTGAAGTAGAAACAATGAAATAGTGAAGCATGCTTTTATTTACAATTTTGAAAAATTATTTTTACAGTGTAGTTGTAAATTACAATGGTAGCAAATCCTATGATGCATTGCAATGTCTTTGCACGATAAACTTCCATTGTCCGTATATTATTATAAATGTGATTTTTGTTTGTTTTTACAAACTTGAGCAACAAGTTGATAATATTGTATGTGGTAATTACAGCTGCTAATGAAGCATAACTTGTTTTGAGCCTGGAAAACTCCTGCTTTTTATATTTTTAACCTGAGAAAAAGACATCATTAATCTTACATATGTCTCCTTTAGTTTCAGAAGAGATCTCAACAATGTCTCAAATTGCGATTAGATTTTCCAAAGTCCACAATTACTGTAATTTTAGAATGAACTCAAATGTTCCTCTATGCTATGCTCAGTTTTATAGCTCTGTACTCTAACTGTACATCAACATTATATATTTCTTAAACAATTTAAAGAAAAACAAAGATAGAGTTCATACTTGGAGCGTATCTGAAAGCCATGCTATGAAAGGGCGACCTCTGAGCCGTAAACTGTGTGTTTGAATCATTGTCGTCTGCTGTCATGGATCAGTATCTTCTGACGTTCAGTAGATTCTCCTCATGTCTTCTCCACATCTCATCGCTGCAGCTCTCACGCGGCTCCTCTGTGTCTGTGTGTGCATGGCGTTCTCCTCGCTTCCTTACATACGGCAGCAGTATCGAGGGGAAGGTTGACTTTGGTTTGCATGGATCTAGAGAAGTTCACGTGCATGTGTCTATGATCATCTTTCTCTCTGTGTTTTTAAAGCATATACACTCCAAAAATCATGTTCTTAGTCAGTAGCTTTGTAATGTTTTCCAGTAAAAATGTCTATAAACATCCCTGAAAAGAAAAAGTGCAATAATTATGACTTGTTTTCAGAGAATGCGCCTTGAAGTTGAATTAAGTGAAAAAAGGATTTACTTTGAAACAATTTTCACTTAGAAATTGGTAGTAAATTGTACTAATAATTACTAACACATTGAATTAAACATGAAATTTTGAAGTAGAGAAACTGAAATTGTGTTTTTTGTTTGTAAAATGTTCTAAAATACTCTGTTTCATTGACAAATGTAAAAAAAAATTACAGTGTTTTAGACAAAATGCACTGCAGTTTTACTTCTCATGTGGATTTATCTTGTTTCAAGGATGTTTAGATATTTTTACTGGAAACCTGACAAAGATACTGGTTAAGAATATTTTTTTTGCAGTGCGGTTATGTTTTATGTATGTAATTGTGGTGTTTTATGTGTTTAAGATGTATACATGAATTTGAAATATTGGTCAAATTCTCTCTGTCTGTTAAGGGTTTGCAGTCTATAATATAACTGTTTACGATGTTAATCTTTCTCAGAGAGAGTTTTCCAGTGTGGAATGATGTGTGTTTTCCTCAGGGAATACTGCAAAGACCTGGAGCTGTCCAACAACAACACAGAGTTCCTGCTCAACTTCATCGCTCTGATGGAGAAGGTCACGCCGGACTCCAAACAATGTGAGGCTCACAGATCTTGTGTGAATTATTTAATAACATAACGCCCTTTTAAAGGACTTTCTGGCCGTAATTTTCATTGCAGTCGGTTGAGCATTATCCAAACATCATATGTTCCTGTTAAAAAGAACATCTTAAACCAGCCTTGCTGGTCTAAACAGGTCTGTTGGCCGGTTTTAGCTCGAACGCTGAGCTGTAAGACCAGCTGAGACCACCTTAAAGTATCTACCCCCAATAATCAGTGTTATATTAGTATTATTTGTATACTTTTATACTATTTATTAATATTGAGTTAGTTTTTATTTTGAGTTAAAAAAAAATTAAATTAAGTTTTAGTAATTTTCTTATGTGCTTTTGTCATTTGTATTACTTTTAGTTTGTTTTTGTTTTATCAATTTTTGTTTCATTTTAATTTTAGTCATTTTAGTACTTCAGCTTATTTAATTTAGTTGCCAAGGCAACATTTCTAACTTCCTAATTTAGAAAGTTATTTAAGTTTAAGCTTTTTCATGTAATATTTACATTTTATATTCAAATACTTATTTTGACTTTATTTCATTTACAAATATATATATTTTTATTATTTTCAGTTTTAGATAATAATAACACTGACCATAATTCACATTCTGAATCTCTCTTTGACAATTCTTGAACTCAAAACCATCTTGTATGAAGATATCAGCTCATATATCATAATGTCATCATCATTATTCCACACAGGCGACAATTTCTTGCTGCATAATCTGATCTTGGACACGGGCATCATTAAAGAGCTGGTAGATAAAGTCTGGAAGAACAAGGACCTCAACACGTATGTTCATATTCAGGAAGAACCACTGAAATTCCTCCAATTCATTAGTAGACTGACACCTTTATAAGGCATCAACCTAAAAATCTCAAGCACAAAATATTCTGCATTAGAGCTAGTGATAAATGTGAGTGAATATGTGTGTTCTGATGCTCTAGGTACGGCTTTATAACAGTCTTTGCAGCCACAGATGGAGGCGTCACTCGAGTTTTCCCTAATAGGTGAGTCTAGTTCTTTTTTCTGTATTTGTCACTGTGTTGTTTTAAATAGCTGCTAAGGTAAAGTGTGTGTGCGTGTGTGTGTGTGTGCGTGCGTGCGTGCGTGCGTGTACATCAGGGCCTCTGAGACCTGGGAGGAAAATCCAGAGCCGTTTAATGCTAGTTATTACCGTCGCAGTCTGGACAACAAGGGCTACAT